TGTTGTTTGAGATGATTTTTTTTAATGGATTTACATCATTATTAGTGCTGTTAACATATCAAGAATTAGGAATATCTTAATTCTATCTATTATGTAAATTCAATTGTATGTTCAATGCTGTTTAGTTTATTTACAAGATCAGGTAATATTTTCAGGGACATATCAAATAAGCATCATCAATATACTGAAAATATGTTAATTCTTTAGAAAGAATATATTGGAAAGGATCAGTATCTAGAAATACGAGGAAAAATGAAGCAAAAAAAAAAAAACAAAAAAAAACAAAAGCTCATCAGTCCTCTGAATTTTTAGATATAGAAATTATTATTCAAAGTGAAATAACATTAGTTTGTAATAAGTTGGCAAATCATCATAATGTTGTTTACCAATAGAAAGTAATTAATGTTTGATTTAGTTAAATATTTCTTTAGAAGATTCAAAGATTTCTTAACTGGTACATTAGTCTTCCAGGGTTTAAGATCTAAACTAACCATGAATTTATCTTTCTTTTATTTATCTTTTAAGCTGTTGACAATGTTGCCAGAGTTTTTAATATGTTAATAATACTTAATCATTCCAAGAAGTAGGGTTTAAATTTTTGCTATAGTTTTCATTAGTCTATGAATAGCACTTCTAATCCCAGATATGCCAAGCCACAAGGAAATGCTGCATTGTATATTTTTGGTAGCTTGTTTATTTTAGGATATTATCTGATCAATGTTGACCATGTTTATCTTCATTATGAATTAACTCATGTATTTGTTGAATTTTTCTGTTCAATTTTAAATAGGCATTTGCATAACTGAGTAAAAGTCTTTTTTTATTATTTCATTGGAGGTAACTGTATCCATGACAGCAGTTTTATTTCTTTTTGAAGAAATGATGGAAATAGTCTCAAGTTTGGCATATTTTTTTTCTTATGCTTTTATTTCAACATTTATATATTCATAATCTAGCACAAATTATTTCTTAGGTGAAATCTCTATCATTTGCATGTGGTTCTTAATTATTCTATTTATTATTATTTTTTTTTTTTCAGTCCCAGTTGCAAAGTTTAGCTTGAAACTGAAGGTTTAGATTTTTGTGCTGGATAATTTTGTGCTTAAGTTGCCCAGTTATCCATCTATTTGAACATAGGACATGAAGTTTTGACTTGACTACCATTTTCCAGACCCACAGTCCTGGGAGAAGACAATGACTGAAACAAAACAGGTGACTAAATGGAATTGATAAACACATGTACTATACTGATAATTATGGTGGTGAAATATAAATTCAAAACCTAAGAATAACAATTAATAATTTAAATAAGATAATCTTGTCTCATATTGTGCTACATCTGATTTCAATCAGCAATTATTCAACCAAATTAACGGTAGATAAAATAGGAATAATAGTTCAATCATGGTGATTATGAGTCAATGAGGACGGTGATATTCTGGTAAAAAAAATTTATCTAACAAATTTTTATATAGGTACCACCAGTGAAAATACAATACCTAAGGTTTAAAATGAAAAATATTTCCTGAAGCTTTTATTTTAGTTTTAATTTCAAGCTAATAGATTAAATTTAATATTTCCATTTATGATTTATAAACTATATTTACTAATCATAAATGGGAAAGCTTAGTACAAATTATCAAACACCAATATTTTTAAAAGAATTTTTAATTTATTTTTGTATATATATAAGAACATGCCGATGTTTGTAGATGCAGGTGTCTATACAAAACGTTATCAGAAAATAAGAGCAATTTTAAAGTCAAAATTTCTAAAACTCAATAAAACATTAGTTTACAGTGAATATTTACTTAAAAGATTACTGAGTACTTAAAAGTTATATAAAAGGCTCTCATGGTATATTCAAATATTTTTTTTTACAACTTAAGCCCCCACCCCAGAACAATATTTGATAAACAGCCACCACTCACCAAGCTGTCAAACATGTCAGCAGCTTAAACAGCTACTGTTGGGTTAAAGAAATGTATTTCTGTGATATTTTAAACTTAAAGTAAATAACAGTTGTTTCAAATCAGGTTAATTATACTTTAAATCAGCTAATATTCTTCAAATAAAGCTTTAGAAAAGTATATTTTTGGAGGTTTTTTTTTTTTTGCGATTAAAGACAACTAATAAAAGGGCACTATCAGCTATTTTAGCAAACAAATAAAAAAAAGAAAAATACTTTCAGTCTTTTTAAATTAATTTTTGAAAATATTAAATTGAAATGAGATTAAAAAGGTAAAATAAAAGCTTCAGGAAAGATTTTTCATTTTTAAAAATCTTTTCTTAGGTAATGCGTTTTTTGAGGCGATCCCTATTTCAATGTAACTGCTGAATTCTTGAATACAGTTTTACTACAGTGTACGACTGTAATAAAATAACATTTTTACCACTTTTTATTTATATTTTACCATTTTCTGAGTTACCTAAGCCAAGCAGAAGCCACACTGATGTTAGTATTTTGGCGATCAGTTACTACTTCCTAATCAAATACAGTTGCTTCGTCTTATTGATGCTTCTTTAATCTAACATGTGAGTAGTACGCAATAATACCTACTTCGGTTGAAATAAAAAAAATATCTGGGTAATTAAATTATTTATTAATTAATTTTAAAAAATTAATTAACTTTCAAGGTCGTAACTTTGGATAACTAGCAAAAATCTCGATTCACAATCCAGTGATTGCATTAAAAAAAAAAAAAAAAAAGTATGTTTTCTAATGAATGAGAAGAAATAAAAAAAACTTTTTTTTTTCTCTGAACGATGGTACTACTTACTTACTAGTGGACGTATTTCGGACTCTTTTTTTTAATTGTCAAACTCAAAATTAAAAAAAAAAAAAAAAAAAAAAGAAAAAAAAGCTGACCATAATGACAATAACATCAAATGACTTTAGAAATATAGAGAAAAAACAAATTAGTAATTTACTCCGGGTAATCTTTGCACTCAGTTTGTAAAAAGAAAGAAAGAAAGAAAGACAAAAACTTTTATATTAAAAGTAATTTTAAAATTGAACAGCCAATCAGCTTAGACAAACAAGTTGTCATGGCAACATAAATAACTCTTCTTGTATTTCTTTCAAGTTGTAGCACTTTAGCCTTGCGTAGTCATAACTTTAAGTTTTAAAGTTTTTAAAATTGATCCAACAAAAATAGATTTTATCGATTAGAATCTGAATTTCGTTTAAAAGTCAAATAGTCGTCGTGTTCAAAGTAGCCGTATGAGTTCTTGCTTAATTTTTTTAAAGTTTTTATTATTTCATTTCGTTGGGGCAATGAGTACTTACTAATTTCCTAGTCTTGTATTTTCTCCATCACAACGTTTCGGCCGCTATATCGCCTAACGCTCAATCTGACTTATTGTATGTCAAGTGGTTAACACCTGACAAAGACTGGCGATTATTATTAAACGTTGAAAAAAAATAGCCCTAACAAACTAACCAGCATGAAGAAATAAATAGACGACTACAACGGTCTTTTCTTAAATAATCAATAATTATAGAAGTTGTCTATATAACTTTTTCAAGTAATAAAAAAAAAAAAAAAATCGTATAATGCATTTTTTTTTATAAATTATTTGTTGAAGAAAAGATTGGTCTGGTAATTTCCATTTAAATCTTTCATGTTTAAATTCTGAGGAAAAAAGGCTCTAACTAAAAAATCCATTTTCTTATTTTTGAAGAAAAAGAAATTAAAAAGAACCGATTTATACTCGAAGACGAAAAGAAATAGCTTTTTTTACGATTTGTCTTGGATTGATTGATTCGTTCATTTTCTACGGCTTACCAACCCTTCTTGGAGTAATAAATCATTAATTTTAAACTTTTTCATTCAATCGCGAAACGGATTATTTTATTTTTCTTTTTAAACCAAATTTCAAGGAAGCGTAATTAACTGCGCTGTTTTTTTTTGTTTTTTTTAAGGCGGCAGGTACGTCCTCCTTGTTTCTATGTACGTCACACTTTTTTTTAAAAAGTCATTGTTTTGCTCTTGATTCATCTGAACTTCATTTTCTGTTTGTTGCAATAACACTTAGGATCCAAGAAGTTAATATTTACTTTTTATTTTGGCGCGTATACTGGATAGGGGACTTCACAACCCTGTATTCAGTGTAGTCTTGTTATTAAAAACACGACTAACAATTTGCTGCCTCTTCATTTTTTATTTTTTATTTATATACCCTAAGTGCAAATGCAAAAAAAAATGCAAGTGTCGATTTTGTTTATCGACAGCTACAACGTGACTAACCCCCCAGAAAAGTCACTATTGGCGGATAACAACCAGGTTGTCAATAAAATGACGAGTTCTTAAGGAAAACACGATGACCCTCCAATCCATATATGATCAAAGTAGACAGTCACTAGATAGATAGTTATCTAAGAGAGGAAGAGATTTTTTTAACATCTTTTTTTTTTTATGTATGTCTCATTCTAAGTTTTATTGCCAATTATTTATTAGTATTTCTTAGCTTTTCGTTGGTGTACTGTAGTGTAGACAAATTATCATTAAATGAAATTCAGGTCTTATGTCGGCGTGCCACCACACAAGGCCTAACAACTGTGTTAAAGTTAATGTAATAAAATCACTTTCCATTCAAGCAAATGAATTAAAATAAATGAAGTTTCGTTTTAAATACAAACAAATAACACACAAGACAAAATAATGTACGTAAATAAAAAGCAAAAAAATAATACATTCTGTAACAAGTCAATACAAATGAAAACATTCATTTAAAAATATTCACAACAAAAAGAAAAGAGAATGAACAAGCGAGGAATTATTTAATTTTTTTTTTTTTTTTTTGTGGTGGGGGGGATTTTCATAAAAACATTTTACTAAATTTTTTTAACTAAATAAAAAGAAACAACAGAAAATAAGGGGGATAATAAAATGCGAAGCAAAGGTTTTTCGGGTGAAAATTTAAACAACAGAAAACCCACTATGTCGTTGATGCGAGAAAGTGGATTGTTAAGCCGGCAATACCCCAGGGTTACGAAC